CCCCGGGCCCGTCCCACCCCCGCCGTCTTCATTTACCCAGGACGTCAAACCCCATTTCATTTCATTTCTGTAGAAGCCTGTCATCTGTAAAGAAAACAATAATCCTGCAGTATTCAGATCACATGGAAGTCATTTTATTATTCGACGCCACCACGAATATTTCTCAAGTCGTGTAGAAAATTAAAGAATTAACTTACAGAACCCACTGGTACGCCACTGCCCTGGCAAAATCTCCCGACTACGCTTAAAGCGTGTTTAAATGGTCCGTCGTCATAGCCTTTCTTTGTCGCGTATTCCCGATGTCAAAGGTCGTGCATGCGGTGTCAAAGGTCACCCTTCCGATGTTCGTTGATTCCAGGCAAGGGTCTAAACTCTTTGTTGTCACGTAGTTTCTTTGTTCCCAGTCCCAGCTCGCCATCTTTGTTCCCAGTCCCAGCTCGACATCTTGTGTGTGATGTTTTTATCATCATCAGCTGATGCTTGTTGACGATTTATAACAGAAATTGATTTCTGCCATAGCACGTGCTGTACTTAGTGTACGGGTATACACCATGGGGGTTTTAACACGTGTGTGACGTGTATGCACGTGAATTGTATAAATGTATAGAAACGCAAAAGAAAAATCTGATGACATTTTTAACATTTAAAAGATAAAATATTAGAAAAAGATTAGCCCCATTTCATTTAAGCAGATTAAAGTAAAATATTGGTGATGATATTATTAGATCCAGTTAGCTTGACAGTTGGAATTCGATATAAGCGTAGGCCATAGTGCTACTACCTGGGCAAAATTTCCCTCATAGCACACTGTATGGCATATGCCCGTCTTCATTAGCCCAGTCGGAGCAGAACAGTAGGATGTTAAACCCCATTTTATTTTATTTCCAAGCCTCTACACATCACTGTGTTATTAAATCTAGTCAATTATAATAAAATCTGCTGAAATGGTGACAGATGGTTGATGACAATAAATTTTATCGATCTTTATTCGTCCATGTCCTTAACACATTGCTCATCTTTTAATATAATTTCATCATAATTAGTCATTTCATAGCGGAATTATCTCCTTTATTGGTACCCCATCTAGTTATATTCCCTATAGGGGAGCCGCGGTGGTTCAGTGAGTATGATGCTGGCTTAATAACCAGGGGCGGTAATTACAAAAATTCTAAGAGTTGGAACCAACTCTTAACTGTCAAAAATTACTCCTAACTTTGTAGATTTTCCTAAGACCTATTTATAAAACATTTTACTTTAAGAATTACTCCTAACTATGACACATATTTAGGAGACCTCCTGTAGCACTCCTAACTTGTTAAAAGTACTCTTATCTTGGTTAACATGGCCGTCCGTGTACGCCGCCTAAGAGAGTTTAAAACAAGAAGAGATTTCAAATTTAATTATCAAATTAACAATTATAGTATTTTTAGCGAATTTAAGTGGCGCTACTTAAACCACCTTTCACATCTTGTAGACTGTTCGTTTGTCAACGGAATCATTTTTTCATGACAACCTGATGAAGCTCACGGGGTACCACGTGGTTCTAGTTGGGGGTTAACGTCCGCTCCCACCTGATTATTTTACACAGTAAGGTGAATATATGACAACCAAGGTGATCTATGTCTTATCACCTGTCTATATAAACAGGTGTAACCTGGTTTACACATAGGTACAATATATACAACTATCGTCGGTGAGCACGTTCACATCGTCCTCAAATAAAGGCGTACATTTCCAATTTAGCGAGGTGGGGGGGGGGGGGGGGGCGGATAACCAAACGGTTATCGCATGTCACCGAGTCAACTGGCGTGATTTCGATTTCCCCGGTTGTACGTGTTAAGGTGAAGGGTCGCCTGTCCAACCTCGTGGTTTTTCTCTGGATAGCCCGGTTTCCTCCCACTGCTAAAGACCCGTACGCGCTAGCGAATTATTGAAATAAAAATGAACCATATGTTAGTCCCGAAATGACCTAGTTTGTGTCGAGTGGACGTTACCCCCCCCCCCCCTCCTCTCTCTCTCTCTCTCTCTTGGGCCTATAACGATCTTTATACCAACACATCTACAACTCTATACACGGACCGGTGTTCACATACTAGCTCCACCCGAAGAACTTCGCGGTGTTCACATACTAGCCTACATTCACCGTGGACCTTCGCATGGCTCCTTAATATAATAAAATGCGTCATCTATTGTGATTATCGTAAAAACAACTTGTCAACTGAGGAGAAATCATCAATTTATAACGTCAGAACAAAGATGTCGGCAGAATAACTTCCTTCGTAAAAATATTGATTGTGAAAAATGACGGATGATCTTCAATAACAATAATAATCTGTTTTTATTTTACATCTTCTAAATCTGTCAAGTTTTTATCATCATGATGATATAATGAATTTATTTCTGTGTGATTTCAGTGGAATTACTCCAGATTTTCGTATTCTTATACACAGCAAGTTTAATCGTTCACAACTGTCAAAGGGTAACAGCACCGGAAAGTCTCGGGAAGTTATCTTTGGTACACAAGAATCGAACCCTGGTCTCTTGGTTAGCGAGGTAACGGTTTACCGTGATCCCATGTTACCAAAATAAATTTATAGGAAACAGTTGGAGATGGAGTGTTTTTGGCATGTTGTTTATTTCGTTTGAGAGGTTGTTTTTTTGTTATAAATAACATTGACATTGATAAAATGTGGATACACGTCTTCTTTCAGACATAAAACAATCCATGATTTATATAGCGTCTAGGTAGATTGACATTGACGGCTGATGACAGGGGGCTTACAACCAGACCCGTAGCCCCCCCTGGAAATAATCTTGCCCCCCCCCCCCCCCCTGACAAAAAGTTGTCGACCATATTTATAAATTACCTATGTATGATTTGAATATATTTCTTGAAAAACACTCAGAATAGTTCGTTCTTAGAACATATAATTGTCGATTTCTATGCTTAGAAACTCGTTTACAGCTACTCAATTTTCAAAATTTTCCGGGGGGGAGACCCCCGTACCCCCGGCAAGAGAGATTATGGTTGGTGAGATTATGGTTCGGGTATGCATTAGGGCTAGGTCCAGGGTTAGGGTTGGGATTAGCGCTAGCCCTATTCACATCTCGTGACCTTTGACCAAACTGGAAGTTGACCTTATCAAATAGACCTAACGTAGGAAGTTGGGACCAACAACTTGGGTCACGTTGTACACGCTGTTGAGCACCACAAAGAATCCTGGCCAGTTGGAATTCGATAAGATTAAGAAATGGACGGAAACGCCCCTTTCAGGAAAATAAATTTCCCTGGTAGCTCAATTATCCAGGATTGTATCGAAAGGTAGATAATTAAACCGCAATTCATTTTAAAGCTTATTACGTCGTCTAGAGTTCTACTTATTAGTCTTTTAAATCATATTCAAAGTTAATTAACGTTTTCCTTCAATAAAATATAAAATGTCAATTAGATGAATCGATGGACTGGTTGAACTAGTAATTAATTCATCGTTTAAGTACAGATTAACCATTCACCTTACACGTATTTAATAAAACGGAAACAAGATGGTCGTGTGGTCATTGAATATCGTCAGATATGGTTGTTAATGGCCGACCATTTAAAGCCACATTTCAATAATTTCATGCTTCTTTTACGATTATTTCATCTCACGTATTAACGGGTAATTTCGATTTTGTGTAATGCATTGCGCAAGGTTCAAATTTCAAAATCTGTCCCCGATAAGTGAGAGAGAGGGGAATGGGATTTAACGTCCACTCGACACAAACTTTAAATGGCAATATCGAATTGGAAACGAAATGGGGTTTAACGTCCTACTGTTGTACTATTTAGAGATTTAACAATATTTACAAGAATTAGAAATAATACAGATGATATGATAGTGTGAAGTATTAGTTCTGTTTATCTGACATCAGTAGATGTATTTTATATTAGTACACCTGCTTTAAAGTTCAATAATAAAAAAATCTTTAAAATCCTGTATCGATAGAAAGTGTTTTGTTTAAAACCCTGTATTGATAGAAAGTGCTTTGTTTAAAATCCTGTATCGATAGAAAGTGTTTTGTTTAAAATCCTGTATCGATAGAAAGTGTTTGGTTTAAAACCCTGTATTGATAGAAAGCGCTTTGTTTAAAACCCTGTATCGATGGAAAGTGTTTTGTTTAAAATCCTGTATTGATAGAAAGCGTTTTGTTTAAAATCCTGTATCGATGGAAAGTGTTTTGTTTAAAATCCTGTATTGATAGAAAGCGTTTTGTTTAAAATCCTGTATCGATAGAAAGTGTTTTGTTTAAAATCCTGTATCGATAGAAAGCGCGTTTAAAATCCTGTATTGATAAAAAGCGTTTTGTTTAAAATCCTGTATTGATAGAAAGCACTTTGTTTAAAATCCTGTATCGATAGAAAAGATTTTGTTTAAAATCCTGTATCAATAGAAAACCTTTTGTTTAAAAATATAATGTTTTATTTTTTACAAGATTTCCTTAACTTATTAATTATTACGTAATAACAGCAGTATTTATATTACTATGGACGTTTGAGAATTACGTTAATAATAATAATAATAATGGCGTGCTGTGACAAAGGTTTTTTTTTATCAAATGAACATTTATTACAGATAGACGATGTGAACAACCGGGCATGCTGTGTGTTTCATTAAACATTTTAAAAATACTAATTTCAAAACAAACAATTCATTATTTTCAGCCCAGAATTTTCGTATATAAAACATGTATAATATAGTATTTGTCACGTAAATTCATATTTGTATGTTCAGACATTTGTAAGCAATAAAAGTATATTAAATCTGAACAGTCGAGTTCCACAACCAACATGAACGTATCAAATGTGTCCCAGAATGTTTGACCTTAGCTCCGTCTTAACCTAAACATGTACCCCATGTTGAATTGACGTATCTATAACCTAAATTTGACTTAACATATAACTTTATCTTGTATTCAGTCAACGACGATAATAAGTAAAATAGAATTAAAACATGTCCTACCGTTTAACTGTTCATTGATGAAAATTTTAAAAGTTAATTATTCCAATAATTCAGTTTACGTCTGTTGCTATCCGTCAAGCCTGGCCATAACATAAATTGATACTCCCACTCTTCTATACGACTGTTAAAACTTGGTTCGTTCTCCTTCACTGCTCTAAAACAAATAAACATCAAACATGTCCGACACCAATCGTCACATCACCCAAAAAAACATTTCATCTCCTACAATTTGTATATATACTCCAGATTTCATGCACCGCTAAATAATCCACGGCCATCTATCCCAACAACGAGTTTTAATCTATTTAAATACTGTTTTAAAAACAAATAAAACTTTCTAAAATCTTCCCCGTTATGTTGCAAGCTTGCGACTTGACCCAATTGTAACGGGTCTCTGTTAACTGTGGTGTGTGCCTTTAGCAATAAGCATGGTATATAATGTCACTGGTTTGCCTTAAGGGGACGATCACAATGTACATGTACATATATATAGCGACCTTCTCACATCAAACCAACTATAACTCAACTAACTAACTTAATCTAAACTTTGTTCAAATTTCCCACTTCATACTGGTGCCCGTGTGTTTTACAGTCGTATTGAACGCTGTACACACACACAGAATCTGTGTAATACGGTGATTGGGAGAGAGAGAGAGAGATCATTCTTTGTTAAAGGCACGATGCCTTGACTATAGCTTCAAGCCAACTATTGTATGAAGACCGTGATTCTATTGTTAAATATCCTGCACCTCCTGTGTTCTTAAACCATGAACAAAGACAATATTTTAATCCTTCCAATGTCCAATGATTCGGGGCAATTTAACAGTTTAACGTCAGTTTGTGTCGGGGTGTAAGTTTTGGGCGCCATACAAAGAAATGATCTTAAAGCACTCTTTGTCACACCCTGCATATCACCTCGGTGGAAGCGGACGTAAAATACAACTAACACTAACTAACACCCTGCATGGACACCCAATCCACCTCAAGTCATACGCTTCAAGCAAGAAAACATATGTCCCGGGTGGCATGGACTCATTGCTTTTATACTTAACACATCGCGCAATGGGTTTTGACGTCCATTCGACACAAACTAGATAATTTCGGGACTAACATATGGTTCAATTTTATTTCAATCATTTGCTAGGCTTCTTTAGCTGTGGGAGGAAACTGGAGGACCCGGAGATAACCCACAGGGTTAGATACATCACTTAATGATGTCCCAATACTTGTCTGCGATATCACCCTAGTTTAAAGCGGACGTTAACCTCCAGTCAGTAATTGTAGTATATGCTCTTACCAAATAATGGCTAATAAATCAGATCATTCATTTTAAAATATAAAATTTAAAATAAAAATCCAAAAGACTTTTCCGCGGATTATTTTATATATATCTTTTATAAGGTGTGTTCCATATAAAATAACCCTTGACAAATAGTTCTCTCTCTCTCTCTCTCCCCCTCTCTCTCTCTCTCTCTCTCTCTCTCTCAAATGATGTATGTTTAAAGAAGCTAAATCGCTAACATTTGGGACCTAGAAATTGACAAAAGTGGGTCGCAACGCATATAATACTGTAGTATGAATGTATATAAACTGATTTACATTCAATGGTTTCCGTTTTTACTCCAATTTCAAATCAGTTACGTTCGGCGAAATAAGCCAGCAGTCTCAAGCGAGTGCAAATTTCTAGCGTCTGGTTATTCCAGTCTACATACGCCGTTTGATTTGGTGCAATGTGTCTAGCCTCGTCCCTCGAGTCTCTTGATACAACTGGGGCTGAAGCTCATTATGGTACACGATTCGTGTACCAATGGTAAAATGTTTATTTTGTCTTAAATATTAGATATCAAAAGCCCATCTTTTTCCGGTAAGATCACAACATGAATGTTGATTTAATTTGACAAATAAATCGTGTTTTCAATGTTGAAGATTTTGGATGATATTGAGTTAGAGACTTAGCTACTTTAACTACACTGTATACATATTGTTTGTTAAGAGTATTATGTTTTATATTTATGTAGATTTCTCCACTATCCGATAAGGTGTCATGTGTATATAGGCACGTATGACATAACCTTCTCTTGAATATAAATAAAATCCACTCCATCACAGATAAATCTCCAACAGTAATGTTCAATGGCAGGTCCAAGTATACAATGAGAATGACAACCAATTCTGGGGAGGTTTTGATTGTCCAGAGGTGTACAATTCAAAGACATTATCAACTCTCTCCTCTCAGTGCCAACTAATATTCTTTCTGAAATATCCCCACTTCCTTTCCTAGCCATATCTTATGTCGGATTATAATAATATTTTATAGTTTTCACAAATTAATCATTGATATTCTTGTCTTTTTAACATAATCTTCGACAAAATAAATTTAAATTTTATATAAAAATGAAAGAAAAAACCAAAGTCGTAGTTTTATATTAGGCTACATGTATTATATATTAGTACAGGTCGAATTATAAAATTGTTCTTAAATGAATAATAATGGTATGAATTACGAGTGCAGGTATCCGTAAAAAGGGAGGGAGAGAGGGGGAGAGAGAGACAGCGCACGAGGTTGTCCAGGCGATCCTTCTCCTTGTCGTGTACATGTCTGAGATTAAAGCCACTTCCTTTGACACAATGACAGACCCTAGGATCTAAAGAAGATGCGTTAGTAGACCACTTGACCCACTTGACTCAATAACAGATCTAAAGTACTGGCTTTAAACAACACGACCACCCCACCATCAAAACAACGATTGAAAGCATATTTTCTTATTTTTGAATATTCTGTGAGTGCACATAATGGTTAAAAATAAAGTTAAATGAATTATGTCAGTTATACAGAATTATAAGTTAGTTATAACGGGTTTACTTACTGTAACGTTATATAGAATTATTACAATTCGTGCCAGTAACTTGTTATTCGTATCATGTATAACTACTCCCTTGTCAGTGATACAGGTCCGAGGACCTGACAAGGACAGCGATGCAGGACGGAGGACCTGACAAGGACAGTGATACAGAACGGAGGGCCAGACAAGGACAGCGATACATGACGGAGGACCTGACAAGGACGGTGCCTATAGTTGGGATGGAATAAAAAAACGAGACCCGTTAAAAACCCGGATAGTTAGTTAGAATTCAATTACTATCCGGGCAACATTTTTGCTCGTGGGCATGGCGTTAAACATCATTTTATTTCATTCATTCATTCATTGTGCCATATATTTATTTTATGAAAATATAGTTAGTTATGTTAAACCCTCAAATAAAAGCGAATCCACGTCGTATTTTATAGGATATCTCCATTTTGGGGAAATTCACAGCGGTCATGTTTTGGAATGAGTTTTAAGAATTATTCAAATGTGATTTATTGTAAAATGTGATTTATTAGGGTAAAATGTGATTTATTAGGGTAAAATATGTTTCAAAAGGGTAAAATGAACTTACCCAAGTTGATTCTAAAAGTTCTATCAATGAAGTGTATAAATATTTAATCCTTGCACAGGTAAATCCTTGCACAGTATTTAAAACAACGTATTACAGGTAAATATATTACTTATATCACCTTGTCACCATAGAAACATGGTTCTCACGTACCGTTTTAATTAAAATTGCCGAGATTAAACTTGAAACTAATTATAGTTATTCAAACTTTAATCTCGTTCACCTGACATCAAATACCTTTAGTCTCGATTATCAAGCTTCTGGATTAAGGAATTGAAGCGTTAATCCACTTACAAGACAATAGGTAATTAGTCAGTGACGAGTAATCCCCCTTTGATGTTCCTTTATTAATCGCCCCGCCTTTCAGTATGGGTGATTTTGTCGACCACAGCGTTGATAATGAACAGTTAAGGTATTTCATAAGACAAGCTACAATTCTAAAACAGTTCTTGTGAACAACATCCGTACAACTTGCCACAAACTAGACAGTAAAAATTTGACAATAGGAAGTCGAAATTCTGTCCACGAAAGAAGAATTTGGACGATTTAAAGTTGAATGAACCCTACACGAAAATATCCCTTTTAGATCAGAATCTTGTCTTTTGCTTTTGGTTTTCTACTTTTTACGCAAGATTGTATTTTGAACCTGATGTCATTGAGCGTGGATATGGTTAACTGATATCCCTCCACGTCGTTAAGCGTGAAAATCGCTAATTTCGAATGAAAAGTGCATAGTTTATATTGGAAAAGTTCTCGGTGCTTTCTAATTTATTGGGATACGACGTAGCTGTAGTACAAATAACTGTAGTATTTTAATTGACCTTCATTGATCCCACTAATACAATTCGACCGATAAATGTTTCACGGACTGATCCCATTGAAATCGAGCGGGTTTTTATTGCATTCGGGGACGATGGCTGGGGGGGGACATTGGTTTGGCCCATGAGTCATTAACTATGACATTACGCTCAAAGCCTTCTAAGTCGTGCCGGATAGGCCTTAAAGGTGGTCGCATTGGCTAAAAGTGTGGTCGTATTGGCAAAAAAGGTTGTCGCATTGGTAAAATACGAAGATTTGTTCGATATAATTAAAGGCGATAACTTTAGAAGAAATGATATAAGTTGCTCTCAATTATTGAAACGCTCAAAAAGTTTTACAGTAGATCAGATGACAGCATCATTCTGCATACAGAGCACCTTCTACTTCATACTTCGAGAATAGATCTCTGTCCTAAATGGCCGCCATATCTAAAAATTAGTATACAGTTTTGTAATGCGTTTCTACTCTGTTACACATCTATCATACACACAAAGACTAAATAAACTTTTTAAAATTTTATTAAATGGAAGCAAAATAAATTCTCAACAAAATTCTCGAAGTATACCTACTGTATTCGACTAAAATCATTGATTTAGGACTTAAAAATCTCGGCCAACAAGCTTAGTGTCTGTTCTTAAAGGAGTTAAATCGCTAATATTTGGGACCTAGAAATTGACAAAAATGGGTTGCAACGCATACAATAATGTAATATGAATGTATATAAATTGATTTACATTCAATCGTTTCTGTTTTTACTGTAATTTCTAATCAGTTAGGTTCGGCGAAATATGCCAGTATTCTCAATCGAATTTCAATCTCTAGTGTCTGGTTATTCCAGTCTACGCCGATAGTATTTATTGGGCATGCTCTCCAGATAAGAATATAGCGTCACCGTTTGACATGACTTGTGAAATATGCCTAGCCTCGTTTTTCGAGTCCTTTATTACAAATAGCGCTGAAACGCATTATGGTACACGATTCGTGTACCAATTGTAAAATGTTTATTATGTCTTAAATATTGGACATCAGAAGGCCATCTTTTCCCGGTAAGATCACAACATCAATGTTGATTTAAACCGACAAATAAATCGTGTTTTCAATGTCGAAGATTTTGGATGATACTGAGTTAGAGACTTAGCTACTTTAAGCGGAGCTACCTGTAGACAGACAGTCTATGTTTAGTATGATGACAGCACCTGTCGTTAGAATGGTGAACAAAGGTCATAACACCGGAAGTAATTACTGCAGTGCCGGATCTACATATAGGTTTGCCAGGTTGGGACCTAGGACCTCTTGATCAACCCGGTCTCAGGC